GCCAATTAGAATATGGCTTTTTTCCATACAAGCGTTGATCGGAGTCAACGAATTCTAGGGGTGACAGAGTCAAACTCCGATCACCTTCTCTGGTTGCTCAAAATACGGTCTGCAAAAATAAGCGAAATCAAAGCTCCAAATTCAGGCTACCCCTCATAATTCGCATGCTACGAATCCAACCATGGCATTGGTTTAGTCTGAAAACAACTGTATCATGAGGTACGAACCAAACTGAGTTTTATACCCTAATAATGGCGTTTTTCTATCCCTGCGTCAAACCTCAAAAGTAATGCGTCAAATATATTCTAAACAATCATATTAAGCGATCTATGTAAATAAAATGAGTGGACAATGCATAAATTCAGAGATTCAATTGAGAAAAGTTTTTCCAAATCGGTGAGATGGAGATATTGCATTCTGAATTGTCTCAGGCTCGTATGAGGGCTGGAAGTGACTCCTTGGACTCTCAGGGAATGATTTATGCTTTTAGTTTTGACTAATGATGGCTGGAAATACAGCTACGAAGTTTTAAAAAATTTAGAATTTTTGTAAGTTTTGTAGAGTTCTCTAGCAGTTTGTGCCTGTGTCCTCTTGCTTGCACTCTTGCTCTTTATATAGAGGGAGGAAGGAGGTAAACAAATGTGGAAGAGAATAAGCACATTAACCATGGCATTAAACAAGAAAATCTCATTTTGAAAAAATGCTAAAATCATATGATTCTTTCCATTTTTGAATTTTGCATGAACCTAGACACTTTCTATGTATCTTGCACAATTTTGGGCTTCATATGCTCCAGGCCATAAGCCTTGCATGCTTAGCCCATTAATTTTTTATATTTATGTGATTTAATTCATATTTAAATTAATAATTATTCAAATAAATAGACATAAAAATCACAATAGGGCATGGTTATCTTTAGAGGTCCTTGGGCATGTCATAAGTATATTTGAACCCTAAAAGTTAGGTCCACTAACCTAGAAATGCAATTTTGCTCATAGTTGACTTCATGCATTTTCACAAATTTTCCCAACTTGTGCAAACCATAACTTGCTCAATTTCACCTTTTGAATATGATCTAGGACTTTTTGGAAATCCCATAGTGTCTTCTACAATCTCTATGTTGAAAATGTTCGCTATTTAAGAAATTATCTTGATGTAAATTGCCTTGACAAAAAGTGTCTTTTATTGACTTTTGAAAATGACCTATAATGTGTGAGCTCATATCCTCCAAATGAAGCATTTTTTGGACTTGATAACAAAAGAAAAGTTGTAGAGAATTTAATTTTCTTCAAAATGAGCTTTGGTTGGGGAAAAGTTGATGAAGCATGTGAAAGTTATGCCTGGTCAAAGTTTAGTTGACTTCTCTCAAGGAAACCCTAATTTGACAAATCTTGACTTTTGAAGATTTGAGGACTCTCCTTGGAGAATCATGATCAACCCTTGATAAAATGATGAATATCACCTCAAAATGTTGATGTTGACCAAAAATCTTGAAGTTTGATCGTATGTTGACTACAGTTGACTTTTTGACCAATATAGTTGATTTTCAAACATTTGAACCATTGACTAAGCAAAATTGTGATGTAGGGCTTGAAACTTGAAATGAAGCTTGTTGAGGACCTAAGAAGAAACACGGAAGCAATTTGAGACCTTTGCAAACCAAATTTCCTTGAGAAACTTCAAACCCTAGTTATAGGCCTTTGGTTTAGGAGGTGCATCTTGACTAATCACCCTTGAGTGTCTTGATTATTTTGAAGAGTCTTTAAAGAATGTTTTGAGAAAGATGAGAGGAAAATTTTTGGGGTACAACAACAAGGAAAGATCACGGAGAAATTACCATGAAGATCGATAACATGTCAACTATCAATATGGAGAAGAGCTTGACAGCACAAGGTTGAACAAGCACATCGAGATGAGGTTCCATTGTCTTCGAGGGTAAGTAGCAGATGGGAGGATTAACTTGGAATACTGCAGAACTAAGAATCAAATTGCAGGCATCATTGCAAAGGGTATACAACTCGAAGTATTCAGAAGACTAAGAGCTATGATGAATATAAATAGCTTAGACATAATGAATTAGGTGATGTGTTGAAAGTGTAATTTTTCATGTCGAAGTAGGTTGTTGCTCGATATAAGATGTGTCGAAAGTAGCATGTTGCTCGACAAAGATGTGTCGGAATAGCCTAGAATGTGTTTCAAAGTTGTAGTCGAGTTGATAGTTGTCAAAGTGTTGTAAGCAGGTTTCTACACACAAATTTCGAGTTTTTTGGGCTTTTCTAGTTTTGGATTTATTGGCTTAGGGAGACGAAAAGTTGTAAAAATCGTTAACAAGTTGCAGGAGGGACGAAAAATTCAAATTAAATTTTTTCAATAGATCATTCTTTAAAGGAAATTTTTGAAGAGACTAAAAATTAAATATAAAATATTTAAGAGGATTAAAAATATATTTAACTCCTTCCTTTTTTTAGTAGTGTGAACTCTAATTTTCCAAAACTTTGATTATAACTTTCACAACTTTTAAGTTCCTTAATATATTTTATAAATTTAGGTTTCAAAGAGCCGTCTTTTAAATTTCTTTATTTTATTCACACTATATTTCAATTCTTTTACTTTTCTTGTTTTTAAATCCAATTATAATTTTATCACAATTTTATAATTTTTCCGAAACCTAAATTCAACCATAAAACCTAAATTCAAATTGGATGCAATTTCGATTTGTTTTTTTGGAATAACTAGGGAGGAGCCAACTCAGTTGGCGCAGGCACTATGCATTTTTCCCTAGGCGCAATCCCACTTGGCGCATGCTCTCTCTTTTAGCCAAGTGAGATGACGCATGCACTTTAAAAGTGAGAGGAGGCGCCATCTCACTTGGTACCTAGGTAAAAATGCATTTTTTATAAATAATTCGCCCGTTTCTCCGTCATTCCTCATATTTTATCGCACTGTTCTCTTATTTTTTTTCTCTGTTATTTGCGTCATGACATCGCCCATGATTTTTACCAGAGATGTTTACATTATTTTCTCCGCCACAAAACCTCCGATGAAAATGAAATTCTGGCACATTCACTCCATGGAGCTTCTGAAGATGGAGTTGATGCGATGGCTAGAGGGAGACATCGAGGATGGGGAATAAATTAGAAAGATCCAGCGAAGAAGAACAACAACCTCACTTGCGACAGGAAGACCAAATTTTTGTTTGGAGGAAGTCAAAACAGACAGCGGTGTACTGTTGATGATGCATGGGTCAGATGAAATTGTTTTAACGGTTGTAATTCCGTAGACGGTTTATCGTGTTTTATTTCTTGTTCGCGCAAGGTTTATTGTAACAAATGTTGTTAATGAAAAACCCTAATGTTTACAACTTAAAAAAGTAAAAATGTTTTGTAATAGAATTTTTATGTGGTTGAGCCAGTAGCCCGATTCGGACAATTTTTGCGATTGTGTCCGACCTGACGACATAAACCACACTTTCTTTATAGCTTGTCAAGGGAGTCCATTTTAGTTATGATGTGCTTACTTTTGGGATGACCCTTTTTATTCCTTCGCATTTGGTCATTGTGCCATACTATTTCGCCGTCGTATGCACGCCAATAATCAGATTTTGCTACCAAAGGGAAGCTATTGTTATATACGTTGAGCAAGGTTTCAGATTTGTAAATGGGAGACAGAAGTTGTAGCGCGTCTTGATGAGTATAGGCACACGCAGCAATGACATGAGAGCAAGTCATACGAAGGCTTAAAACTTGCCACAATCGCACCAACGAGAAGGTAGTATAACCCTATACGCAGCAAGGTTGTGTCAATGTATATCCCACATTCATAACCTCTTTCTTAAGAGATTTGTCTATTACGAAATTTGTCTTTCTCTTTTAAGTTTTCATATGACTGCATATACAAATTGAAAAATAAATCAGATGACGGTTCATCTCCGCCCATGTTGAAGTTTGTCATGTGCAGAGGTGGTGTGTAGATCTCGTTTGAAGGTATACCAGGTATCCCATCGTCTTCGGAATCATCATTGACCATGTCTTCAAACTCCAACTCGTCATCTTCTTCTTCTTCGTCAACGACATCTACTTCTGTTTGTTTGGTCTCCATAGGATCAACCACTTGTGACAGCCGAGGCTCTCGCAGCATAATGTACAACTCAATAGAGTCGTATCCAGAATACTCATGACTGAAAAACATATTCTGAAGGTCCTCGTCATCTTGAAACTCAACCTTATAAAATATTATTTGGTTGTTACCAAAAAAACCAGATTCTCATAAAAGATTTGTGTCACGGGACCTCGTCCAAGTTTGGCCTCCAATTATTTTTTGAAATACAAGAAATTGGCTTTCCTGTTTAAAGAAAATCAGATGTTCTCAGTGTCTATAAACAAAAACTCAGAGGTGGGACAAATGTATGTCTCACCGTTGAAATGTGCACTGATCACATATTGGGGTGCAGAGGCCATTGTGTATGACTGTTTGAAGGTTTGAAGGTATGAAGTATTTGAGTTAATTGCTTGAATTTTTGAATGTTCTAGTGTTTGACTGGTTAAGTGTAGGAGTGTTTTGATAAATGTAAGATTAAATAGGTTGTACTGAATTTGAATAAACCAACAATAAGCAACCTCTAATTCGCCTCCCTTCACGTCCAATCGTGTTACATGCATGCAGAGATGCCTTCTCCAAGGCTGTCACATAGGCGCCAAGTGAGATGACGTCTTCCCTTTAAAATAAGGTGCATGTGTCAATTGGGTTGGCTCCTCCCTTATGGGGTTTTCTGAAACATGATTATTTGTGTAATTTTCTCCAAAACATGGTTATTTGCGATATTTTTAATACCTAATTATTCAAAAAAAATATTACATTTTCAAAACAACCATAAAACACACATCGTTACAAATTATGCTTATTAGAAATCCCGCAGTCACAATATTCATTTGTGCTTCAAAATCGAGATAATGCCTGAAAATTTGTTTCCTCTTATGCTTTTGAAATTGTTATCCACACTTTTACGAATATTGGGAATACTTTGAAGATTTGATACTATTATCCACACTTGTACGAATGCTAGAAACATTGGATGATGTGTTCCCCTTGATACTATTGAGACTAATATCCACACTTGTACGAATGCTAGAAACATTAGATAAAGTATTTCCCCTGATGCTTATGAGACTGTTATTTACTCTTGTCCGAATGCTGGAAACACTGGATGGTGTTTTCCCCTTGATACTATTGAGATTACTATCCACGCTTGTACGAATGCTAGAAACATTAGATAAGGTGTTTCCCCTGATGCTTATGAGACTGTTATCCACTCTTGTCCGAATGCTGGAAACATTGGATGGTGTGTTCCCCTTGATACTATTGAGATTACTATCCACACTTGTACGAATGCTAGAAACATTAGATAAAGTATTTCCCCTGATGCTTTTGAGATTGCTATCCACTCTTGTCCGAATGCTGGAAACATTGGATGGTGTGTTCCCCTTGATACTATTGAAAATATTATCAACACTTGTACGAATGCTTGTAACATTAGACGATGTGTTCCCCCTTATGCTTCTTAAACTTGTGTCCACACTTGTTCGCATGCTAGAAATGTTGGAAAATTTGTTCCCCCTTTCACTTTTAAATCTATTATCCATATTTGTACAAATGCTACAAATGGTGGAAGTTATGTTCCCCTTTTAAACTTGAGAATATTATCTACAGTTGTACGATGATTAGAAATGCTGAAAGATGTTTACTTCTCCTTCAACTAATTTCAAATCTGCAAAACATGCAGTATATAACAACATGAAGAAAAGACGAAGATCGATGCATAATTAAACATATTGAGAACATCAAACCCATGCAAAAATATACCTGGAAACTATCTGTTAGTGTTGAGGATACCGAATTTAATTTCTTCTAAAGAGGTTTGCTGTGAAGAATATGTAATATGTATGCATCTATGTTAGCTTTTATAATATGGAAACTACACCTCTTAGTCTTCCATTTTTAAACTATATTGAAGATTTATCGCATTTTCCAAATAAACTAAGCTAGAGAAAAAACACCAATGCTCTTGGGTATTTGAATATATAATATATTGATTGATAAACCCAGTCAAATATAAGAAGATATATAATTTAGGTAAAATATTTTTTTTGGTTTTGTAAATTAACATCAATGTTCATTCTGTCTCTTTAATTTCATATTAGTCTTTTAACTCTTCAAAAGACTTTATTTTAATTTCTTTTGTCTAATTAACAATGAATTTAACGATTGATTTATGAGTTTTTCCGTCGCTAATTAGATAAAAATAATTAAAATAAAGTGTTTTAAGAGTTAAAGGGCCAATGCGAAACTTTATTTAATTAATAGATTAAATAAATATTAATGTTAACATACAAGACCAAAAAGAATATTTTATTTATTATTTATTTGACAAAAGAAAAAACCATTAATGAGTAAAAGTCAAGAGAGAACGAAGCAAAGAGTTTTCTGAAAATTTTAAAGTTTCGTTGTTGAAGGAAGAAAAGAGGAGCTCATAAAAAAGGAAAAAAAAGATAGAATCGTGAGAAATTAGTCCTCAATAATTATTTTTTTAAAATCATTTTGTCTTAACCAAGCACGTTATATAATTACTTTTTCAATTTTTTTTCCTTTTCTTAATATAAAAAAATTGAAAAGAAAATAAAAAATGAGAGAAAAACTAAAAAAAATAAAATTCTTGCGGGATATATATTTTTAAGTTTGAGCCATAGTTTGAAGTGAAAATTATATTACCGCAGTTTTTTTTTATGATTTAAAATATCTATTATTTATTAACTGTGACTTAAATATAAGTGTGGTTTTGTGAACATGTCAATTAAAAAAAGAGTACAGTTTTACATTCTAGATTCAATGTTTTCAAACATATAATTGCGATTTGAAAATCCTATTCAAAACTAGTATCTGACCACGGTTTTTGAGTTGTGGACAAATTTAACGTGATCATAGATTAAAAATGTTATAGTAGCTGTTGGATATTTGAATATATAATATATTGATTGATATATGTGGTCACAACTAGCTGCTATAAACCGACTCAAATAAAGAAGATATATAATTTATTTGTAATATAATGTTAATTATTTTGTTGGTAATGAGGAGGAAGTTGCACATGACTTCAGCAACTATTCAACTTTATCAAATTTTCAAACCATTCGCAAATGAAGATGTTTATTAAATCATGATTTATTGACCTTACCTTCTTCTACAAGATCATGACCTGTGAGAGCGAACCATTTGCAATTTTAACATACACCCCATTTTTCTAATGATAAAATGATAATTAATATTTCCGAGAGATACTCAACCAATGATAGCAATTCATCATGTGAAAAGAAACATAATTCCCATATTTTAAACCCAGAAAGATGCCAACAACCAATATATTGTCGTCTTTCTTTGTAATTAATACTATCTTTATCCTTGCATATTAGTTTTTTCTAATTAAAAAGTGTCTACAACATTTTTCGCTATGCTAATTTTTCCACAACTCAAAAATTATAGTCACATAAGTTTTGGCTAGACTTTTTAAATTGTATATATATTTTGAAATATTGAATCTGAAGTGTGAAATTATGGTATTTTTTTCAATTGTTACAGTTATAAAATCACTTATATTTAAGTCACGGTTAATAAATTGTAGATATTTTAAGCCATAAAGAAAAACTGAGACATTATAATTTTCATTTCAAACTGTGACCCAAGTCCAAAAAAATATATCCCGCCAGAATTTTTTATTTTTTTTTAGTTTTCCTCTCGTTAATTATTTTCTTTTCTATCTTTTTAGATTAAAAAATTGAAAAAGTAAATACAAATAAAAACAATGATGCATCTAACATAGATTTTGTACAATACTCTTCCTCGCGTCTCCTCTGTTCCTCGTGTCTCCTCGTGTTCCTCATTCTCATTTTGTTTTTGTACGATCCTCTTGTCGGCTTCTCCTGTTCTTCTCTACTCATGTTCCTCGTCTCTTCAGTCGTTTCTTTCGTGATTTTCTTCTACAAGGATGCATGTAGTTCATTTGCGTTGATTTAATCTAGATTTTGTTTTGCAGTTTTGATTCCTTTGTTGTGGTACCAACATAAGCTTCCCCTTGTCGATTATCATTGGAGTTAGTTGCGCTAATACCGACGATATGGTTTCATTTATACTTTTGTTATGATTTCATTTTTACCTATATTGTTATAACTATTGTGTTTATTAAGGTTATATTTTGTTATGGTAATTTGAAACTGAGTGGATTGAGGTGAGTAAGTAGGGTTGAAGGTCTTGACAATGAGAGTGGCACTGAGTTTTTTTTTGGGTGAGTAACCAGGGTTGAAACTGATATGGAATTGAGGTTGAGAAAGTCTAATAGTAACTGATTCAAGTTAACGACTATGTTATGTTGGTGTTAGTGATGTTGATTGTTAGTTAGTTCAATTATTCTTGTTAATTTTTCTGTTAAACTATGTCAACATTTTTCATTAAATTGTTAGATTGTTAGTTTTGTTAATATTTGACTTTTAGTATTGTTATTGTTAAATTGATTTTCTGTTTGAATAGGGTGGAATGCACTTGGTTAGAATTTTTGTATTTATGTTTATGTGCATGTGTGGACGTGATTTGATGCATGTTTGCTGATGTGAACTGATGTTTATGTGTTAGAACTGATGTTTAAATTGTGAACTGATTGTATTTATGTTGGTTAGAACTGATGTTTATATGTTAGTAATTTGATTTGATGAACTGGTGTGCTATTACTACTGATGTGCATTGTTATATGGTTTCTACTGTGGCTGTTGTTCATACTACTACTTAGTAGTTTGTTTTTACCTAATGTCTGTATAAAACATTATGTTATTTCTTTTATATTGGGGAAAAACACGAATTATTGACCCCAAAATCTTGTTTTAAACCGGTGCTTAGAGCATGGTAGGTACACAATTTGTAAACAACAGTTTCTGAACCATATTATTTATGAAAACAAGAATTTCTCTTCTTCATCTATAATGTTGTCTGATTATATGTTGATAGTTGATGAATAGGATTTAATTGTGATCTCCTAATGGATTTTTTTTTTAATCTTGCTCGGTTTATTCATAATAATTTTTTAAAACACATATATAAAAATAACAATGCTATAGAAAATTTTGAAACCTTGTAATAAACAAGAACTTATATTTTCTACCAATTTTTCTTAGCTACTAAAGGAAATTAAAAAAATATTCCCAGATGAGAGGTACTTGCGCCTCAGTTATTATCAGTGGCCAAATCTAGCCACGATTCTTATTTAATTTATAGCCTACGGTTCAGTTGCCTAGGTTTAGCCGCAGTTTGTTTATGGCTACTAATTAAAACTGCGACTAAATTTTTCTCAAAATTTTACACCATTTAAATAGGCTACAGTTTCTTGTTGTACCGCATAGTTGTGACAATGGTGTTCTTCATGCCATGGCATAAAAAAACATTTTAGATCAATATAAAATGTCTTCCAACAACAATACTCATTTTTGTAGATATTGAATAAAAAAATTAAAATATAATTATACAAGAAAACATTAAGCCACAACGTCAAAATATTCATTACAAAATAAGTAAGTCTACATCAAGTGACGCTACTGACTAATAAGTCGCAAAAATATGGATAAGTTATGATATTATCATTCTTAAACAAAACCAAATTTCTAGAGAGAGAGTGGTCCCAAATTCAAAACAAAAGTTCTAAGAGATAGATAATATAAAACAAAACTTATATTAATTAAACTCATATATCATAATATTCTTCTTTTTGAGCATCTCGTCCTTCTTGTTCTTCTTTCATATCTTGATGACAAGCTTCTTTGTCTCCATTCTGCAAAGAACATGGTACATAAATTAATATAAGAAAATCATTCTATATAAACAATCGAACATTTAATAAATATATTCACAAGTCGGTGGTAAATATATTCACACAAAAGAAACTACAATTGGTAATAAGAAAATTCAACTAGCAATGAACCAGAGTCACAATTGTAAACAAAGCATTAATTGACAGAGAAAATTCCTATTTTTAGGGAAAATCTCTATGTACTCAAGCATGCAGTTTAGCTTACCATAATTTTCCACGTTCTTAGAAAAATAATTGACATGACATATTACAAAGCGTCAGTAAGTTACAGGAAGTTTGATCGCTTTAGTATGACCATGTCGTTCTAATTCATAACAGTATTTGTTACATAGACATTTTCCGATGACAACCATGCACTCGTACAATAAATCTCATTTAATAAAATCCATACCCAATTTGATTTCATGGCCGAGTATGATACAAAACCTATTTTATGAAAAATTGAAACACTTGAGAATGAACTAAAAGGACTAACAATGAAATTCTGGTATCAGATATGTGATATCGAAGGAGATGTCATGACACAAATATCTGAGGACAATGTAAAGTGTAACAATAATAAAAGCTTTAAAAACACAGAGGATTGTTAACCCAGTTCAGTGTATAACAACACCTACTCTGGGGGCTACCAAGCCAGGAACAAGTCCACTAAATAATATCAATTCATAGACCCTCAGTAAACAA